CAAAACTCCAGAAAAATATGCGAACAAAAAAGTCAAGTACGGCTTTGGATCAGTTGGTTAAGGTGCGCCGATTCTGAGCTTCACTTTTGGCAGGACCCGAGTTCGAATCCTGGTACTTGCAGTCTCAAAAATAATTATTTATGAATAATTAAATACAAGAATTATTTCCAAGACCACTGATGATGGGTATTAGGCAATACTCCAAACAGCTGTTGACCATACTCAATTAAAAAAAAAACTCAATTAATTAAAATAATATAAAAAAAATAAAATTTTTGTTGTTGTAGTTCACTACTGTTGAAAAAAATCTCTTTATTTAGATTTTATTTTATATTTGATACATCATTTTTAATTTGTTGCAGTCAATCCTTTCCTTGAATAATTTATTAAAAGTATTATCATTTGAAAAAGGTGTGATTTTTAACCTTATTCAATTCTAAATTAAAATTTTCATATATAGGAATACATTAAATATATTTCTTTATATACATTCTTTTTTTTGTTAAACAAATGAGTTAAAATAAAATGTTTAAATCTAATTAATAAATTCCTTTTATTCCTTTGGATAATATACAATATCATGGAATGACATCTCTTTTATTTATGTTCATGAATATTATCTTTTGTAATCCGATGCGTTCACAGGTTCGATTTATGTATCAATTGCTCGTCATTCTAGTCTTCGAATTAATTTTTAAAAACTATTTTTAAGAAAATTTATTGCATACAATCATTGCAGACCTTGGTTAGAATTTGCGAAGTCACTAGAGAAAATCTGATGAAATTTATTCGACAAAATATGATAAAAGTTGTCTAAATATAAGGATGCTGTTTGATGACACCACAGCATAGTTTCCTGGCGGAAGAGAAATGACAACACCACGAAGTTAATATGGTTAATGCAGCTCCGTACTTATTTGCTTAGGAGCTACGCTGAAAAATGTACTATATACTGATTGCATTTAGTCACTACAACGTGCGGCCGCCAACTTCCATCACATTTATGAACCAATTGTAATGGACTAGCCTAACAGTTTTTCGATGACTAGCAGATCCCTACTTGTACTAGAAATTGGAAACTTGGTTTTTCTCAGCTTTATACATATTAATCATCGCTGACTGACGAATGATGACGCCAGTAGGTTAGGTGTAGTGCGCTACTGCTGTTACAATCCCTCTTATATTGGCGTTTATTGACACCAAATCATGGTATTCGTTTAATACCTAGGCATACTTTGTATCTTTACTGGTGTTCTTACCTTAGGCCACTAGCTTAATTGTGTTGTCTACTAGTCTTCAGTTCCACCAACAGGTCATTTATTATTGTTAGGGGATATGGCACTTCTGAGCTTAGAGTAGGTCTTTAAGCACTCTTGCGTCAATAAAAAGTAGTATAGAACCTACTTTAAAGAGTTTTATTGCCTCTTCCGTAAGAATATACATTCATAGGAGCCTATTTCGTATGTGCATTAGCGAGAAGCATTCTAACAGCACATGTGTAGCCGACTTCTCATTCTCTTCACAGAATCTACAGTTTGCATCTGTATGTACATATACCCTGTCTTGTAAGATTGTGTTTTAGTCTACAGTGCCCTGTTGGGATTACTGTGATGTTTCTAAGTTTTTCATTTGATAGGTTTATACAATCCTGATATCTCTAATTGTTATAGGTACCAATAAGTGATTTGGATTATTTTAGTCCTGGTATATTATCCCAGTAATCCCTATTATTCTGGTTTTTCTTTATTTTTATGAGAGAAAGAAGCACAAAAAGATTCCGCTACAGTGAGCTCCGATGTGGCTGCTACTTTCCTGGTTAGTTTGTCCACGTATTCATTTCCGAGTACGCTAGTATGTCTCGATACCCAAAGAATCGACACCTGATTTAATTCGCCAAGCAGATTTAGCTTAACAAGGTAGTCTACCACCAGTCTTGAGGTCATCTGATCCGAATTCAGTGCCTTGATCGCCGCTTGACTATCTGTCAGTATTGCAATATTTTTACCCTGGTAATTCCGTTTAATATTGATAAGTACGCATTTTTAAATTGCGTAAATTTCTGCTTGGAAGATGTTTGTATTTTTCCTCAGCACTTACCAGCTTCTTGCCTGGTCCAACTATGCCCAACTATGCACCTTCCTTCGTAAGCGAGCCGTCAGTGAAACATGCAATCGTGCTATTCATTAATTGGTAGGTGATTGATGCCTTCCAAGATTCTTTTGTTCCTTAGTTCAATTTTAAAAAACTTAATAAAACTGAACTTAGGATTCATCGTATTCCGTGGCATTGAAAATTCCAAACGCTGCTTGGCAAGATTTTCGAACTTCTTTCCATTGAGCCAGCTATCCGTTGTATTTCCTTTATTCATTCCTAGAACTGCTCTTTCCGATTGGGACCTGATGTATATCGGCATATATGATGTATATCGGTATATCGGTATATATGATGTATATCCTTTATACATACGCATGCCAGTCTTTAAGTGTTATTTTGTTGTCTGGATCCATTTTCCCAGATGAGTGCCGCATATGAGATGATAAGTCTGATGATCGCCGAATGGACCCATTGCAGTATTTTTGGTGCACAGTCCCAACTTTTGCCGGCTGTGGGTCTACAGGTCATAAGAGCCCTAGTGGCTTTCTTCGTGATCTCCTCAATGTGGTGTTTCCAGTTGAGTTTTTTGTCGAGATGTATGCCTAAGAACTTAACCGTTTTCTTAATTTCTACATCAATTCCATCGATTCTGATAGACTTCAGATGTTTCAGATGTATTTCCAAATTTTTATCCACCGATATGCTCCACATGAGTGGTGAGAGTGTCTCACCTTGTGGACATTCTCGTGTGGTATTCATCCTCATTAGACCCGAACAAGTGCTTATTTCTACCTTTTTAGTTCGAAGCATCCACCGTGCCAAAGTAGAATTTATTCCTCTGTTTATTAGTGATCTCCTTATAACGTCATATTAAGTTTTGTCAAAGGCATCTTCTATATCTAGAAATGTACATATTACTGTTTCCTTCTTCTTAATACTATTCCCTATTATGTTCATCAACTCAAACAATGCGGTTTCAGTGGATCTCCCCGCCCTGTAAGCATGTTGGCATGGATGTAATGGGGTAACAGATATTTTATTCCCTGTTGAATAAGTGCCGGAAGTATACCATCTATGCCAGGTGATTTAAATGGTTTAAAGATGCTCACCGCTTATTTGATTCTAGTTGTCTTACGTATTTCCTTAGCAATATCCCAGGTTCCTTTATCTGCTGTTTGGCAAACTTCCTTAGTGATATTCTCAGTTTCTTGTTTTTCCATGCTAGAGAATCCTGGGATGTGAGTCTCGACAAGTAATTGAATCCGTGTACGTATTGTTATCTTTTTCAAATTGGCTGAGGAAGTATTTTCTTTCTAGCTAATACTTTGCAGAGTCCTCCGTAGTGTGTTCTATGCTGTTATAGAACATCCTGAAACGTTCACTTTTTGCTCTCCAAATTTTCTTATTTAAGAGAGCAAGAGTGCTTCTATACTCGGTCCAGCACCTAGTGCGCTTCGATCGGTTGAATAGACTTCGAGCCGTTGTTCAATCAATAATGACATTGCTGAGATTTTCAACTATGGATTTCAGTTGGGTTTCATGCAAGATATTTCTCCCTATATCTAATTGATTTAGGTTAACTCTTAGGTTATTCTGGTATTTTTTCCAGTCTTTTTTCCTAGCTATTCTATTGATTTGGGGTGCTCCTTCAATGTCAAATCTTATAATACTGTAGTCTGACATCAATGGTTCATTAGAAACTAGTTACAAAGGTTAGCGTATTCCCTATATTTATAATTTTTAATTTATTTTTATTTATAAATTCTCATCAAATTTTCAAACGTTACTCACTCCGTTTGTTGGTGTCTCTGGTGGACTGTTACTAAATCCCTGGAGAGGAATTCTGAAAGACATAGAAAGTTAATATTTTTATTCAATACAATACAAGTTCTGGGGTTATCACATATGACATCCCATATTACCTGTGTGTATTTAGTGACTAGGCCACAAATCCGATATTTGAAAATCCTAAGCTCTTGGACCAGTATTACACTCAGATTGTTCCTGAGTGTTGCTCTCGAGATAACTACCGAGGCAGCTTTCGCATGGTGTAGATTTATTTGAGCTATTTTTATATTTTTCTATGACCAGATGTTATGTAGGACTTGGTTTTCTTCTCTGTCAGTGGGACATCATCGATATACAATAGAGAGACTTGGTCCGAGTCTTCTGTTTCCGCCAAGTTTAGCAGCGTCATGTCGACATCATCTATGTCCTCATTTTCATGAGGTAGGATGCTGATTTCCTCAACTTGTTCGCTC